TTTGTGTTATGTATGTCATGGTTAAACACGGTGTTTACTAGATCTCTCATCGATGTGTGATGTAAACTCGACAAGACAGTCAAGAGATTTGCCTCAATTTTCTCCAGCTCTCTGCACCCTGTCATTATCTTCTATACTCCAGTCAGGCTCTGTCTGTCTTGTCAATAATATATTATAGATCGTTTCTGCTTCTATTTTTAGACGAACGGCACACAAGCTTCCGGTAGGCGTGACAGAGGAGAGTGTCAATAGAAGATTGCCGGTTCAACTACCTGGCAACTTGGTGATATCAGACACTCGTCAAAATAACGAAATTAAAGAAACAGGTATGGTATTCTCCCCCAATTTGACAATTTTTGTCCATTTTTAAAACTTGTGTGTGTGTCTTGTTGTTTTTTCTTGTTGTTTTTTGGCTTTGTTTGGTTCAACACCTTTTTATGTCTATCAAAAACACACCGTTGTTTCGGTTTTACTGAAAAACATTAATTTATTAAAGGCACCAAAAATGTACATTTTCAGCTTCCAAGGACTCTCGAGCTATGAAAGTTACCAAACTTTGTCGACCTTTTTCACGCTAACTTTATCTCTGAAACCAGGCGATCCTCACCTATTTCAAACGCAAATATCTCGATTTCTATTCAGTATAAATGGATATAATTTGTTTTATCGAAAGCAAGATAAATGTAAAAGAAAGCAAAAGTGATACCGATAACTCCACATGTCAAAAATTGACAAGCGACTGATTCGACCGCGCCGTGTAACATCTATTGTTATAATGTTAAAGCTTGTTCATTTGCCTTGCTTTCGATGAGACGAAAAGCATTTATTTTGAATTTCAAGTTGAGATATTTACGACTGAAGGAGATAGGCGTTGCCTGGTGTCAGAGGTAAAAGGAACAAGAAAATGGCCGCCAAAGTTTGGTAATTTCCATAGCCTGAGAGTCCTTGGAAACTGAAAATTTACTCTTTTTATGCGCCTTTAATTAACATTTTTCTAGTAAAATCCACGCAATAAAATATGTTATTAAACTGACATAAAAGATTTTAAGCAACAAAAAAAAAGAAAAAAAGAAAGAAAATTTGAAAAGAATTGCCCAACGGCCAAAATAGTGCTGGTGTCATGCTGTAAACCCTCGCCAAAAGCACTATCAACATTCTTCGTCAATAAACACTACTAACTGCAGTTGTTTTCGTGGTTCAGACATTGAGCTCAAAACACTATCCCAGTATTTTTAAGACCAGTAGATCTACCTTATAAGTAAGAGATGGCATCTGAAAGGAAGGTTTAGCTTCAAATTTTTATTATTCTTTAGTTTAGCCGCCGTTGTGTCATTTTACCAAAGTATTATGCCTCAAATAGATACATCTTCTAAAATGCTTTTGAAAGGTCGTGGTTTACTACTTATGAGAACAAATTTTGAATCAAAATTGCATTTTCCTCGAAAACATATTTTTCTGTACATTATTTGCTAAAAGTCAGAAGTTTATAAATGGATTTAAATGTAATTGGAACTTGGCAGTGATGTGGTCCAAATAAAGCTAAGCAAGATAGCACATACTTTTTTTAATGTCTTATTTCTACCTAATTTTATTGTTGTTTGTAAGTTTTTTTAAAATAGATCCTAGGCTTTTTTAATTTTTCGATGACTAACTTTTAAAAATATTTGTTTCTCCAAAACATTAATTTAATATAGATCTGTAAGATAACTGAAAAAGCTTGTGATTTCTTAACTTTTAGAGATTTTAAAAAACATACCAAAAATTGTTCATTTTCCTTTATGCCTAGCGTTACCGTGGCAACCGCAAGATTCATCCACAAAATAGATGATTGCAAATTACTCACTATACGATCCTTATTATATGAGTGGTTTTTGAAGTCTCTATATACTAGTGCATTCGGCGAGAGAAGCTGACAATAGTGGGGTTTGTGTGATTGTATAATATATATATATATATATATTGCCTAAGACTAAGAATATACCCCGTCCCTTAAATAACCTAATACTCTTGATACGGGCGTTAAACTTATACCTTTTTTTAAAGAATATACGTACATCTGGTGGTAGTGCTTTTTGCTGGACAGTAGTTTATTTAGCGTGATCATTGATCGGGATAGATCTCGTGATTTTTTAGCATAGACCTACTTGAATAGTAATTTTTGCTTGAAAGAGAGTGGACTCATTATAAAGCCAGAAATAATTACTTTGAGGTGAAGGCCCATGCTATAAACACCAACGATAGAAGGTTTTGCTTGATTTTAGTAAATGTACTATACGTACATCTGATGGTAGTGTTTTTTTGCGGGACAGTAGTTTATTTAGCGTGAAGGTCTGTGCTTTAAACGTTACTACTAGTGCTTTCAGCGTTGCCTAAATGACTATGGCAGTGTTAGTTGCATTCATAGAGTGATTTTGGCTCGAGGATAGTGTCATTGCCGAAGCCGGCGTGAAGGTCTGTGCTATAAACACTACTACTGATAGTGATAATAGTGCTTTCAGCTTTGCCAAAATGGCTATGTTCGTGTTTGTTGCATAGAGTGATTTTGGCTTATTACACTGGCTTCTTTGATTATTATTATTAAATTGACAGCGCCTGGTTTCACTACGATTCTTCACATGCTATTGTGTTGCAAGTGCCGTTAAACTCTTACGCCCCCCCCCCCCAAAAAAAAAAAATTCAAACAACGCAAAGTCCACTTCTCGTCTCAGTGACTAGACGCACATGTACACAATAACAGTTAGTTAGTGGGTGCAAAGTAAGGCAGGCAGTAAAATCTTAAAATTAAATTGATTGAAAGTTTCATTTCTCCTGAATGACAAAAACTAACAGGGTAAAGTCGTGCTGAAACAAATCAGTTTTGGGTTAGATCTAGATTCTATTCCAACTTATTTTCCATTGACGCCCTATTTAAATCTTCACAGTTTTGCAGAAGTAGATGTCATGACCTTTGCGTCTACGTCTTTGACTTGAGTTATTTTAAAAAACCAAGATGGTGCACTATAATTATGACGTATTTCCGGTTCAGGATGTATTTCTGGTTCAATTATATTTATGGAGAGATTATAGTGCTGTAAAATAAAAAGTAGTGGAGCGACTTATAGCAATGATAGTACATAACAAGATGGGCCACTTCTCTCTTTGAGCCAATTAAAAAAGTGTCCTCAAAATTTGGTGGCGCCCTCTTCACAAAAGCGCACTCTTTGCGAACAGAGTTACCCTACTTGAGTTTTAAAAAATCAAAGTGAAACTAGCAAGTTTTGGGATAAATTTCGGAAGAACGCTTTTTTAAAATGGTTACGCTGACAAAAAACCTCTTCCGGAGGAAAGGGTGATGGTTTTCTTTGTTTAATTTGACTTTAGAGTGAAAGGCGAGAGGTCATTAAAATTTAAAAAAAACTAAAACTCCGCACTGAACGTACCCGAACTGCTGATGAACACACAGAATTCTACACTTCGCACGCAAGGAGGTGCTATTCCTATTCTTCTTCTGGAAAAACGAAAGAGAGCTTCAAAACAGACTGCAGCGCCATCTGAAGCAAAGAGCATACTTCCTGCGGACACTTTTTTGGCTGAGTGGCCCATCTTGTTATGTACTATCATTGCTTATAGTCAAATATCTCCTCATCTGTCGAACAATATACTCTCCAACTTTTGCACAATGAATTATATATCAATTTGTCTCTTCAAATGAATAATAATATTCTTCATTTTTAAACACCAAACAGTGTTCTAGAAAATGCCTTAAACAATACTAATACAAACTTCCAGTCGATGATTTCTACAGATTTTAAAAAAGGTTTACATTCTATAAGTTAAGGCAATAGCACACCTAAAACTAAAACAAGTCGGCCATTCTTCTAATCGCGACAATTTGCTTTTGGAACCTTTAGTGCAACTGATGGTATAGAACATAACTCAAAGTGCTTTTGTTGTATGTCATATTGTTGTTGTTGTTGTTGTTGTTGTTGTTGTTGTTGTTGTTGTTGTTGTTGTTGTTGTTGTTGTTGTTGTTGTTGTTGTTGTTGTTGTTTTGCTCTTCGGTGCATTTGTTTGATTTTTTTTAACTTCGTTTGAGTGATTACAATAATAATATATCGTTATTGTTCGAACCAAACCGCACAGGCCCAAGCGCATCGCTGCTGAATAGGCCTAGAGAGGCTTACACTGCTCTTCACTTCGTTTCCTCGTAAGTTCTAAAGTAATATATTGAGAGTTCTTTGTGAAATTCTATGAAGATTGTTGGCAGAATACCAGGTTTTTAACGGTGTCTAATAAAGTCAAGTATGACTGCATCAAACCAAGGCATCTTCCTGTCACAGCATCCAACTACGATTCCTCCACACCACCACGCCACTTCTCATTAGACATAGTTATAAAGTATGAACTGAAATTCTTTACAATTTCACTCGTCTTTTTTCAGGCCGGATATCTTTATTATGCGTGGGCTTGAGTTTTACCACTGAAAAATATCCGCTGATGAGCTGTAAGGTAGAAGACCACATACGAATTCAACATGTGTGTGAGAATCGAGAAGTTTTCAGAACAGTTAAACAGTGGCAGTTTTAGCTTGTGAATCGTCATGGTGGAGTTAGGCCTTGAGTGCACAAGCATGAACTCGGCCAAAGCAGAAACAAGGGTAAAGGCATTAAGATACAGCTGTCCGGTGAGCGCCAGGTCGGGGTTTCAAAGCGGACCCGTAAGATTCAGAAGACGCACAAAATCAGACAGGAGCACAAGAGACGTGTCAGTCAGGAGGATTCAAATCCTGGGAGTGATGAAATAGATGTCTTTCATTATATCATTAGACAGGGGTTTTTTTTGCTTTTTATACAGTGCCCCTGATTTGTTGCATTTTTTTATCATTATAAGTGGAATAGTTACTCAACTGAATTTATTTTACGTTTTGTGTTTATTTTCAATTTGGCTGCCGCTACCATAGCAACAGGGATATTCAATAATTGGGGCTTTTTTTGTTTTTTAGCGGGGGGGGGGGAGGAATCGTTTAATCAGTCACAAGAACAAATCCCAAGCGAAGTGAAATCCCAGCTCATCAATAGCATCTTCATACCAACATTGAAATACCAGTGCCAAACATGGTTTCTAAACAAGGCACAAGAAAGAAAAATCAATGGATGCGAAATGAGGTGTCTCTCCAAAACCATCAACGTCATCAGAAGATACCGCATGAGAAACGAAACCATACGTCTACAACCCGGAATACCACTAGTAATAGAATACATAGAGCGTCAAAGAGTCAAATGGTTTGGACTTCTAACTAGAATACCCCAAAAACAATTAGCGGCTAGAGCTTTCAACACCCTAGAATCCGGCTTCAAATCAAGAAGGAGACCAAGAAAGACCTGGAAGGAGGGAGTTAAAAATGGTCCTGGAACAACATAATATATCTATCACAGACGCTACACACCTAACACAGACCTCCCCTCGATACCCTAAAAACACTCGAGGAAGGACAAAGTAAAAGTAGGTAATCATTTAATGATATTTTGGTTTCTTTCTCGAGCATTAAGGGGGGGGGGGGGGGGGGGG